CACTGGTCGCCATTTTGGAGGGGATACACATATCACTAGTGATATGTGTGCGGGGATACACATATCACGGGGATACACATATCACTGTGACACCGGGGTACGGTAAGATGAGAGACCCTGGGAACAAGGTTGGTAAGGTAGTTCGCCAGCAGTCTGATCAAGTCAGCGGTGTGGTATACTATTCAAAATGGCGGCGACGATGGCTGCTCTAGCGGGCACTCGAGTCATCGAACTTGCGGGGCTGGCTCCTGCACCGTTTTGTGGGATGATCCTGGCAGATTTTGGGGCAGTAGTTACTCGAATAGACAAAGTGAAAAATATGTCCACTATCGATAAACTTGCACGTGGAAAGAGATCCATCTCTGTCGACCTACAGAATCCCCAGGGAGTTGCCATCGTTCGAAAGCTTTGTTCTCAGTCCGATGTGTTGATTGATCCTTTCAGACCAGGAGTCTTGGAAAGACTGGGCTTAGGACCGGAAATACTATTGAAAGAGAATCCGAGATTAATTTACGCTCGATTAACAGGTAGTTAAGCTTACTATTTAAGTTGGAGTGGGTCCTGGGTGTCAGACGTGGATGGTCGGGGGAGGGGGTGGGGGAGTGGGTCGGTGGAAGATATCGAGAATTCTTCTTCAATGTTGAATCTTCTTTGAAAGAAGATTAAGGTTAAGAGATGTAATGAGTTAAGTCCCTATATAGAGGGTGGTAAAGGGGGGTAAAGGGGGGGAGAGGTGTCAAGATCACATTTCATGGAAAATAAATTGGTCCTTTCACAATTCTCGGGAAATATAATTGACATTTCACATTTCACGAAAACAAAATGGCATATTTTGACCCAAACTTACGTAACTTATGATATTGGAAAGTTACGCCCAAGCACAGCCTTGTTAGCTGTCTTTGTCATCTGTCCTCTTCTTGTTTTGTGTGCAGCACAAAGAAATCCGAGCAAGAACACGAAGAGGGATGATCTTCCTGTCATGGTCGTGCAATATTGTTAATTACTGTCAAAAATAATAGAAGACACAACCAAATACTTCTTTCTCATTTCCTGGAGAATTATTTTGGCAAATCATGGTTCACGGTTTCTAATGAAATCACAATTCATGAGAAAAAAGCAAACCAGTTCACATTTCACGAGACAAAAAATTAGGTCATTCACGAATCACGAAAATACCCTTTACCACCCTCGATATAGGCCTTACTCTAAAAGTAATCTCTCAAGTTTTTTTTTACCCATGGTATCCAGTTCTTCTGCTTGACATGTGCACGGATGTTCCCATCAAGGATGAAAATGTGTGTTAAGCTGCTTAGGAAATAAGGCCTATACGGTGGATTCACTCTCTTATGCTTCATCTTCCCTCACTTCTCTCATGTTAACTTCACATTTACGCAAATTGCATCTTAATCTAAATATGTATCAGTCAGTTCCAGTAGTGCAAGTAGAAAACCCTCCTTGGGGTGGGTATGAATATTTTCTGGAACCACACATTGCTCATTTAGACAATCTTAGTAATGAACAGTAAAACTACAGTATTTGTTTCTGGTTTATTTTTAAGGTTATGGCCAGACAGGTTGCTATTCCAAGAGGGCAGGCCATGATATAAACTATGTTTCCATTAGTGGTTTGCTGTCGAAGCTTGGACGCAAGGATCAAAAACCAACACCACCAATCAATCTGTTAGCAGATTTTGGTGGTGGAGGCCTAACATGTGCTTTTGGAATTTTACTAGCTTTGTTTGAGAGAACCAGGTCTGGGAAAGGCCAAGTTGTTGATGCTTCAATGGTAAATCAATCTATAAAAATAAAATGTGTTGTTCTAGAAAAATTATGGCCAAACCTCTCTGTCCTTGGAGACCCAGGGGCAGCTAGTCGAGACAATGTAATGTTTTCGGATGATGCAATATTTTTGGGCAAATGTTTGAGATAAACTTTTGCCTGAAGATATTGTGTTGCCCAAAAACATTGTGTAGTCCCAACTAGCTGCGCCTGGGTCTCCGAGGGTGATACCTCTCCCATGGAAGAATTTTTTATTTCTGTGTCACTGAAAGGAAAGGAAATAGTAGATGCCCAGAGGCTACCTCCTCCCCAATCTCTGGAAGTTCCGACGTAGCTTCATAATTTTTCCTATAACAATTTTGGCTTTTGAGACCCGGCCCAGCCTTTCTGGAACTACATTGAAGTGGCCCACATTTAGTTCATAGTCAATCTTTAGAAGAGGTGCTTATTCTAAACTGACTAATAATCTGGTAAAACATGTAGGTACTGATATCTCTCTTGAACAAGGACATCATATTTTAAAAAAAATTAGGCAGATACTAAGTCTATAACTTAGTTATATTTACCTTTATAAGAGACCCCTATTCATTTGATATCTCTGTGAGGAAGATGCAGACACTAAAACCATATTTCTTTGGTGTTTTCTACGGTTAAAAACCTATGTTATGTGGCTTCGGATCAAATTTGCAAGTATTAGAGTTCACCCTTGAAAGAGTGGATTGAAAGTGATAAGTCCATACAGTGGAAAGGACAGATTACAAAGTATAATTGGTCAGAAACTTGAATAGCTTAGTTAACAACCTGGAATAGATTATTGTACAGAAATGTCCAGTCAGTCAATGTATCAATCTGGAATAATCTACTTAGCTATAAAATGACATCTCTCAACCATGTTAAAAGAGTCTGAGCTGGATTTTTTAGAGGTAAAAAGCCCTTGAAGTGTCCACTTGTTCCAAATTGTGTCCACCAAAATGGCTTAATATTGGCATCTGTGTCCACTTAACATGTCTTAACGTGTCTGCTGAATGCAGGTTTATTTTACAGTAGTATCCATAATTTACTATTCTGGTTATAAAGGAATAGAAACCATGACACAGTAGCCAGAGTAAAGCTTATTTAGCTAACAGCCAGCGGATTCATTTTCCCTTGTTACAGGTTGATGGTGCGGCATACTTAGGCTCGTTCATTTACAACAGTCTTGGTATGGGATTTATATGGCAACACCCTGAACGAGGCAGGAACTTACTGGACTCAGGAGCACCATTTTATGATACATATCAAACATCTGATGGAAGATTCATGGCTGTAGGTGCTATAGAGCCCAAGTTTTATCAAAACTTTATTGAAGGTTTGTTTTTATTGTAATTGCTTTCTTAATACTACATTGAAAACCTTTTTTGAGTTTTGCATAATTACTGTTAAGTTTCCAAAAGAAATGACCCCCAGAAAGTAAACTACTGCCAGTAATAATATTAGTTTTGAATAATGTTATTAGAAGCAAAGAAAGTTCTGCAGAGCACTTTATTTTTGTGAAAAAGTACAAACTAAGGTTCAGTCTGGACTAAAGGCTGGAGTAACATACTTTCCTTGTTTCTATAGGGCTTCAGTTAAAAGGAAAACTCCCAGACCAGTCTGATGTTGAACAGTGGCCCAAAGCTAAAGAGGAAATCGCTAGAGTATTCTCTAAGAAGACTCAGTCAGAATGGTGTGAAACATTCAAAGATCTTGATGCTTGTGTCACACCTGTACTTACGACAGACGAGGCACCTTGCCACCCCCACAACGATGAGAGGAAAACATTTATTTTGAGTGATGGGGCATATGAACCATCCCCAGCTCCAAAACTATCTAGAACACCAGGGCACTGCAAGTTGAAGACTCAGCCTGAGGTTGGGGAACATTCCTTAGAGGTTTTAAAAGAAGCTGGATATACACAAACAGAAATTCAAGAACTATTAAACGATGGTGTGGTTGATTATCCTAACCTGAAGTCCTCCCTCTGATGACGATGTTTAGATCATGATCACTATTTAAAATGCCAGCATGAGGAGGCATTCTTGCACTCTAGAAGTTTTGCCAACTTCTCAGCCAATGAGAACCCCTCATGAGTAATTTATTATATTCCAAGTATCTCAAGATTTAAAATACAGGATAAAACTTGATGAAAAGTGAGTAAAGAAGAATCTAAAAACCTGTATTTAAACATTTCACTACATAACAAATGCTTCTTGAAAGAATGCGAGTATTCTTTTCCATCCTTCACAAACCTTTGCTTCTCTTGTACAATAAGTGTGAGGAGTTGGGGATGGTGGGGCCACCCTGCCTAAATAAGGTTTGACTTAATTTGAAGTAGGCAGTTGTCCTAGCCATGAGTATCTTGTTGGGCACAGGGGGTGCAGGAGGATGAAAGTGAAATAAAACACTGATTGCTTGCAGTATAAAAATAAAGCAACAAGGGGTTATTTAAAAAAGAAATAGCGCTTCGTTTCTGGAGTTTGTACATGCTTCTTTGTTTTGAACATCTTTCAAATACCACGATGTCAATAAAATCACCCTGAAACCCAAAATAATACTGTTTCATTGTGAGGTATTTTCCTTGAAAGGTTATTTCCTTTTCACCTTCACTCCAGTAATAAGTCCACTTTGTATTGTTTCCAATACTTGTAATTCCTTATTTCTGTATGAGGCAAAAGTGATGCACTGAAATCTGACAGAAATTTTACTGTCATTTAAAACTTAACATGGCAATGGATTCCTTTGCATTTTTCTACAATACATCCATTCAATCTAACTTAGAACCACTTTAGTCATGAAAACTTTCAACACAACACTTTCAACTTCCTTGTGTCTTCATGACAATCATCTTAGTGATACCTGAGCAAGTTTACATAGTCAATATATTACAACTTTACTCTAATACGCCATTTCTGATTTACCCTTATCTCTGTTTCAAAACGAGTCTTGGTGTTTAACCTTTCTTATGGAAATGAGGTTTTCTTGTGCATTTATTTTCTTGCAAATCACGACATTTCTGTATGAAAATATGTGAACCAGGACTCTTTTTCAAAGTGGAAAGAAAGCAACATGGAAATGAAACAAAAGTACATAAAACACAAAGCAGGCAAACTTTAGGTTAAACAATGTTATTTACTGACAGGTGTAAGCAATTTATTTACAATGCCCAGCTAACAGCGACAAAGGATACTGGTTTGAAATGTTTGGCTAAGAAAAGCAATGTACATTAGTGTCAATGGAATACTGTACTAGAAAAATGTATTTACAAATAACTAGACCAACGGTTCAAAATTATTTTCAGAACATACTTAATTATAATATGTAAATTTACCATCTAACAATAAGTCACTTGCTTAAATTCCAACTGTAGCAAATATTATTATTAATGCTGTTATATTTAAACCTCCTTAAATGCAATATACAATTACCACAGATAACCACCAAGACAATAAAATTGGGTAATGGATCATTCTCAAATAAGCAAGCAGTGAGATTTTACAACACTCCTTTCACAATGGCTTTTGTAAAATCACCATAATTTATGTTAAGCAATGTTCTAATGATGACAAGGAATGTTAGAACAGCATTTTTAGACCAACAATAAACAGCATAATGATACATAAATGACATACATTACCACTTTTCATTTTGATTTTCCTGGTAAACTATTTTACCTTAAAAAGTGATCTTTCAGCAATCTTTTTTCCCTTGTCAAATCAAAACTTCAATTCACTGCCTGCATTTTAAGAGGAGGAGGCACCATCCAATGACATTATTACCTCGAAATCACTATTTACATCCCAATGTTGATATTTTATTCATTATTTTTATCTGCAAAGAGTGCTGCATTCTTTAGAAAACTTAAAATCTATTCAATTATTTACATGTGGTTTTACAGTATGTTTTAAGCAAGTGACATAACTGTTCTGTCAACAAATTATTACTTTTTATCAAAACAAATGACAGAATGAAAAGAGAAGTCTACAATGTACAGAAAAATGGAACACATAATGTAAATTTGTGTTTTGTTTCATCTGTCGGCCAACCGTACTAAATGAGCAAAGTCTAGAAATACAACCCATCAGTATGGAATTACAAAATATAAAATTTGAACCAAGAAAACTGATTTCAAAACTATCACATACCGCTAACTTGGAGCAACCTTAATTTAGCAAAAAAATATAGGAATTGCTTGCAGATCACATGGCTAAGTCCCATTACATGTGAAAAGCAAGCTGTCACA